GATGAATTTATTTAAAAAAACGTGATTAATTTAGTCTATTTTTAGACTTGAGAATTTTCTAACTGAATTAATTCCAGGTTTGCTGAGAGCTTTTAGGGTATCTTTTTTTGATGAGATTTCTATCAAATTGAAAGACAGGATTTATTTTTTTGTTAACTTTCGATAAGTTTTTTTTATACTTGGATATGGATAGAAATTGCGTTTTAAATTGCTTTTTTTCTGTGTTTGTCCTGTCTGTTAGTGTGGAGAGAGACAATGTGCAATGTAATATATTAAACTGTATTAATGTCATAGGATGAGCGTGATTGAAACTGAAATGGATGGTTAGAGCAAGTCCATGCAAACGGGATGGAATTACATTGGGTTTTTATTGGTGTTGATTCGTGCAGTGAGAAAAAGGGAGGAGTAGGATAGTCGATTTAATTTTAGTCTGGAGCGCAGGATGTTGGCAGTTTACGGAGCCCGTCCGTCGCGTTCCCTTTTGGATAAACTAACTAAACCGGTTAATTGAACTTTGAAACCGGGAGAACAATTAGTCCGTTAATTAGCATCAATTTGAAACTTGGAAGATGAGAAAACAAATAAAACAAATAGTAGTAATAGAGAAAAGAAAGAAAATAAAAACAAACAGAAAAGGTCATGACGATGCGATGTGCCGACTTCTCTAAGCGTTTATTTCGGTAACAAAGAACTGGAACACCTATATACCACATACCACTCATCTTGGTTATTATTTATGCTATTTCCAGCCGCATCGAAGGAGCGCCTTCATTGCGTAAGATTCATTACGATTCTGGACTACATTTCAATTGGAAACGACTTTTAGCCTCTCCAGTTCGATGGAAAGAAAGAGGAGAGTTCAAAGTAAAATCGCTTCCATAAATAATAGTCTTCGTCGACTTGAATAATAAAAATCCATTTGAAAGAAAAATTCATTTAAATACTCATCTTTCATTCTCAGCGCGTTGCAGTTTTCTCTTTTTTTTTTCGGAAGGAATAAAGAAATATAAAAGCGAGAAACGTAATTTCACCTAAACCAAATTCAATTTTTGTGAAATGTCTTGTTTCACTTCATTTTAGGATTCGCTAGAGTTTATTATATAAGTTGTGAAGTGTTCGTTTTGCGCGAAAGAAATAAGTTTTCAAAGCATTGCGTGGGCGTGAAAATAATAATAATAAATTGGATAAATATCTCGAGAGAGATTGAGTGATAATACAATTTTTTTCGTGAGACTTCAACGGGATACAAAAAATATCGGTGGCTTGATTAAATTCGGTGAATTCAAATACCGTTTCTCCGCCACAGTTTTCTTTCCACAAACTCTCGAGTATTTTCATGTATTGATTCAATTCCACGCGAACATAGTGTGCAGGAAAAAAGGTACCACCACAACTCGAATTGAATATTTATGAGAAAGATGTGGTCTTCTATCAATTGAGTTGAAGTATTAAAAAAAAAACGTGTGAAAAAGTATCAAATATTTATTGCTGCATGTGTAACTTAATTACAACATTTTTTTCATGAGTTCTCGAAATTCTCGTAGGTTAATTTTTTTGTGGGCCCTAAAAAATCTCGTAGATTCTTAATATTCTCGTGGGCCCTAAAGAATTTATTTTCAAGATTTGAATATAAGTGTGAATTATACAAATTTATCAAATATTACCGTATCTCATCCTTTTTTGAAGCAAATGGGGTCTGAAAACTGATTGCATCTTACAGTAAATGTAGATTACATTTTTTATTTTCAAATTTCTCACCTCAAAATTAAGGCGCGTTTTTAACATGGGAGCGTCTCATTCTTGTGAAAATATTTACTTATTGCCACATTAGTTACATAAAATCAAAATTATTGAACAAATTTGATGTGGGCCCAAGGCAACACTTAACTTTAAAACAAAATATGTAGTCTTGAATCCCAATTACATTTATTTTGTAAAAAAATATCGTGGGTCATAAAAATTATCGTGGGCCCTAAAAAAATGAGGGCCGACATTGTGACTAAAGTTCTTAATTTAGAAGATTGCCACATTATTGAAATATGTTAGGCCCAAATGTTAAAGAAACTTTATAATGAAATATCTAAGTTAGTAAATTCGGATTTGGAATGTATATTACAATAACGAGCGGTGGATATTAATTTTACTTTATTTAATCCTGGCAACTGGAATCGTCCGCTGCGGAAGAGGACTCCTTCGGTTGCCATAGTGATGCCCCTGAATCAATGGAAAACGAGTCCGTCCTAACGCGAAACAAAATCCGCGTTACCGCATACATCTTCTATTATATGAACATTTTTATTTTAAACAAAAAAAAAACATATTTCTTAACTTACGTTTTTGTTTATTTAGCAATGCGAATTGTTTGCAAATCGTCTACGTAACCTCACATGCTGCTATTACTTAACAAATTGTGACTAGAAAGTGGAAAGCTAACATATTTTCCGACAAATAAAAAAATCAAGAATATCAGATAGTAAAAAAAAAATCACGTCCACGAAATTAAATATGGTTACTTACGTAATTTAAACAAAATATCTTATTTAATTTTACATTGTTGCGCGCGGTGTAAGATTTATATCAGGAAAAACTTGATACGAACATCGTTATTGTACTGCATACGAAACCAGTTATAAATTCGATCGAACGCGAGATTTATATATATATAATTTTATTACATTCAAAGGTTACTAGATATTATATGGTCATGGTTACATATTAGTTTCGTGTTAGCTAACAATGTATTATTACATATTAGTTTTGTATCAGTTAACTGTTATACTCAATGTACGTTATATGTATTATTTTTTATAATATCAACTTTATTTACTACAATCTATCAATAAAATGATATTAAGTAAATTTATTGGTGATACACAAATCCTGACACTGAAACATTATCAAAGTTCTGATAATATCAAAAACCACAAGTTTTACTCTAAATAATAGAATATCGACGTTCTGTTTTGTTATTCAGTAAGTAATAACGCTCATCTTTTGTTTTACTGTCGGGATTATGGTTGTCGAGATTTCGAATTTCGGGATTTTAATTGTCGGAATTTTGATCTGAACCAAGACTAGGGTGCAGTATCCAAGGTAACATTATTATTGTTACCGATAAGCACCAAAATGGTGTGAGACAATAAACATTCTTTTTAGTATCCATGGTAATTCATGGTCTAATTTTATAATTATGATACTTAACAATTTTATATTAATGTAACATTTTGTTTGTTTGCAAAAATGATCAATTACATGATTTCGCAACGCGAACTAATTAAATTGCATTGCGAATGTTATAAGAATCTTAATTCATTTTTAATTATAGTTTACGTGCAAACATTCGTTGCAATTACGTTACAATTCTTAACGAAATTGCCCGATGTTTTGCAACATCGTTAAACGAGCATTACGTGACGAGAAGAAAGGGTAGTTATTTGAGTAGATAATCCTCGTGCGCTGTTTTCTTTTTTCGTTTGATCTCGGAAACTTAAGTTTTTCTTTCGCGTCGCTTCCCTCGTCTTTGGGGGATTACGTAATAGAACCGGTGACCGCATGAATAATGTATGTTATTCTCATCTTCCTCCCCCCCCATACTTTTGCAAGAAGAAGCACCAGTATTTCGTCTCAGCGGAAACTTATCTAATCATAAGTAAATACTTTGATGGCATTCCTTGCGTTTGAGGTGTGAATTCGCTGGCACAAATAGAGTTTACGTGCTTCGGTGCAGAGATTTTCCTTGTGGTAAGTGGGACTGGGACAATAAATAATATTAATAGATTTTTAAGTGCGATTTCCATTGTAAGTTCGCCGACGACCGTGTCTATGGTCGGGTTTAATCGGGCCTGAACAATTTTTATTGAATCGTTAAAGTTTTTAATTGCATCCTATCCCACCGACGACGGAGGGAAATGCTCATGCTCCCAATGGTAATTAAAACATAAAAGAGTTTGCGCTCGAAGTCACGGATCGCGGTGAGGTTGTCGGAGGTGGACAATAAACAACGAGAAATCCACAGGAATACCATTTACGGGCACAATTAGGATAACTCTGTAATTCTATATATATGTATGTAAGCGTGCATATAAATATCAAATATAGAAGTAGAGAGATTGTAGGAGGTTGCGACTTGCGTCAGAAGCTTACCATACTTTTCGTATTGCGTATTCCTTCGTGTCTACTTCATTCCTCTCAGCTTCTCTACTTATTATAATTAATGATCTGTGGGAATACTTTATATAATCACACGCGAAAATCGATTTTATTTAAATACTTAGAAATTTTCACCATTATTGATAATGTATAGATTTCTGTTCTTATTTGTAAAATATATAGTTCTCAATTTATTAATAATAGAAGAATTTACTCCTATTTTTTCTTATAAATTACGAATAGATTTTTTTTTGAGATTTACAAATTTAAAATTACGTAAATAACTTAAGAATTTTAAATAGACTTGCTAGTTCGAGTTCTAAAACTTTGGACGTAAGTCGAAAATGTCGTAAGTCGATTTGCATTTGCATTGACATTTGCATGAAAATTAACAGCTGTTGCTTGTCTTTTTTTTATGGATTTTTTCGTCGTATTTGCGAATGGTCGTAAGTCGAAAACTTTCTGTATTCTTTTAACGAATCACATATTAAACAAGCAAATTCTAAAGGATTATCTGAAAACTTTTTTCATGGTTTCAAATAAAAAGAAACTTATTGATTTAGAATCACATTAGTGATTTGATTTCCAGACGGACAGTCCGAAGAATGATATTTTTATAATAATCCCTGAATTGAATTCGATTTGTATGGAATTGTCTACTGAATGATATATAAAAATTGAAATTATTTCTCTGACATTAAACCTGGACAAGTATTATTTATTTCAACCTACTTATGAAAAGATTTAATACTTTAATATAAAATGCTTTAAAAAATGTGTCTAATATAAATTAGTAATAGATTTGTAATATAAATTTGCTAATAATGTATGTTTTTTTTTGTTCGATTTAGATGAGCCACGAGTTCGTTCCGGCGTCTGGGAAGAACCGGCATGTGAGAGAAGGATGGTTCCTCCTTTGGTCCACACCAGAACTCTCCAACATTCCGCATCTCAGCGCAGCTCGGAGGACAGCTGGTGCTCAGGGTCTGACCCAGATCTCTCCTCCGATGAAGAGAGTGAACGCAGCGGCACATCCATTTCCCGGTAAGCCTAATTGCCATTACCGTCACGTAATCATATTGTAATATGAACAAAGTTCCTCTCGGAATATTAATTTTTGGTTTAGTTGGGTATATTTTTACGTATTTTTCTTTCAGAAGCAATGGACAAATTCGTAATACTTTGAGCAAAGCTAGGACTTTCTGCGATAAGCTGCGTGGCAGCGGAGGTTCTGGTGGAGGACCAAGGCTTTCTCTTGACAGCAATATACCTGGAGACACTTCGCCTCAAAATGCCGCGAATCAGGGTAGGTTGTCCAGATGGTTCAGCATGCGGCGCGGCTCGACCCATCAGTACGATATCGAAACTACGGGTTCGGAATCACCGACCCGCAATCCAAGCAGCACCAGCAACAAGCAGATGCCTCTTCTTCCAGAGGTGGAAGAAGAATCCCAATTCTTAAACTGCACTCCGCAGCAGAGACGTCTGATGCCACCCACCCTGCCCACGGCTCCATCAGATTTGACACCGCAGCAGCTGAAACGAAGAATGATTGTCGCCGCTATTATCCACAGTGAAAATTCCTACGTGGCCACATTACACAGACTGGTCAATGTAAATATTAAAAAAAAAATACACTAAAAAAAAGCATGAATTAACAATTTATTTAAACAGGATTACAAGAAACCTTTAGAGGAGAGCAGTCCGCCAATATTGAGCGCCTCGAAGATCTCAACGCTCTTCCATCGCCTGCCGGAGATACTACAGTGCCATACATTATTCCGAGTTGCTCTGGCAGAAAGTGTCCGTAACTGGGACCGCGACGAGAAGATCGGGGATGTCTTCTTCGCATCGTTTTCCAAATCCATCGTCCTCGACATTTACAGCGGTTTCATCAACAACTTCTCCGTGGCCATGGATCTCGCCAAAATGGAAGCCAAAAGAAAATCTGCACTAGCCGATTTCTTTAAGGTAAAGTTTTGCAACTCAAATATAATGTATATATTTATAAATTATTTTTTTTTATTTATTCAGGTAAAGCAGATAAGTTCTCACGACAGGCTATCCTTTTTTGGGTTGATGGTGAAACCGGTGCAGCGCTTCCCGCAATTTATCCTATTCCTACAGGTAATTAGTTTTTGTTATGTTTATGAATTAGTTACAAATTTCAATTGGTTTGCAGGATTTATTAAAGCACACGCCGCAAGGACATCACGATCGTATGAGTCTTCAGCTAGCTTTGACGCAGTTGGAATCCTTGGCTGAGATGTTGAACGAGAGGAAACGAGAAGCCGAGCAGTTCCAGGCTTTCAAAGAGATGCTCCGACATATCAGCGGTAAATTCTCCTCGAGGCCCTTGTGCGATGGTAACAGGTACCTCCTGAGGGAAGACAACGTTACCCAATTAGAATTTAACCAGTGCGGATTAATAACGAAGGCGAAAAGTCGTCGTCTCCTGCTGCTGAACGATCTGGTGGTATGCGTTGCGGTTTCTCCGAGATCGTCCGACGATTTCGGTGTCAGCGAGAGATTGAACTTGAAGTGGATGTTCCCCGTCTCGGATATAGAAATCCAAGATACCAGTGCTTCTCCGACCTTAAGTCGGATATTGACGGCCGGAGCCAATAAAAGTGGAAGTCTGAAATCGAATGCTTCGTTTGAGGGAACCCAACCCCAGGCAGACAATATATGCACGGAGATGGGAAATCTGATGCACGATTACGAGGTGATGTCTCGTATTTCGGATTTGGTCGGCACGCTCCGCGGCAACTACAAGGAGCTTAGCGTTGAGAACACCAAGAAGATACTGCACCAGATACAAAGTTCGATACAGCACAAGGACGAAGAGATGGCTTGGATGGATTCCTGCTGTTTGCAGCTGGTCGCCAAGTCCAAGGGTAAAGAAGAAGTGTTCACTTTCCAGACGGACAGTCCGAATGTGAAGAAGGAGTGGATAACAGAGCTGAGATTAGCGCAGTTGGCTTTGGATCCTAGCAACTCTCCGGCTTGGGAAGTGCCCGAGCAGGAGCAGAGGCCCAGTACCAAAATGCCGCTGTTCGTCAAATCTCAGCCAGTTTACAAATCCCAGCATGAAAGCGAAGTAAGTACTCTTACATTACACGAACGAAATAATCAAAATCTTATTGTTGGTAATTAATAAATGTTATTTTTCAGGTGCGCTGCGGATGTTATTACACGATCAACGCTCCAAAAACGACGCGCAGACGTTACAAAACTCAGAACTATCTGTGGGTCTGCACGACGGACGGAGCCAGTTCACATATATCGGTGATGGTCCAGCACCAACAACAGGCTGGATCTCTTCGGGAAATAAATTTCTTCTCGTTGGTAGAAACGCAGGTGACTGCGATGGAATACGTGAAGGGTATATCTCAGCCCAGTTCCGCTTTGGCCGGAGATTCGGTTTGGATGGGAACGGGGAGCAGGAAAATTCTGCTATACGCTGCGGACGAACCGGAAAAGGAGCAGCAGATCGGCAGCAGCAGTGTCCCTGATGTCATTGTGCAAATCAAATACCACTGCGACAATGTCTTCGTCGCGCTTGGAAATGGAATGTTGCTGATATATAGGAGGAATCCGATTGATGGAACGTGGATTTTGAAGGATCCGCAATTAAGAAGTTTGGGCTCCGATCCGGTATCAAGTTTGCTACCAATAAATATGTGCATGTACGCGGCTTGCGGCAAGAAAGTTTGCGTCCTGAATGGATTGACTGGGGAAGTGCAGAAGGACTTTAGCATTCAGCACGAGCACGTGGGTAATGTGAATTTGATGGCGCACAGCGGGATAGGTTTGTGGATTTCGTTGAAGAACTCCAGCACCATCTGTTTGTACCACACGGAGACTTTCAAGCATCTGCAGGATATAAATATCGCTTCGAATGTTATGAGGGTGACAACGAGCGGATCATCGTCGAACGATTGCATGAATAACAACAGGTCTAAGGTCAACGTTACTGCTTTGTTGGCTTGCAAAGGTCTTCTGTGGGTGGGAACCAATGTTGGTATAAGCTTGACCATTCCGTTGCCCAGATTGGAGGGCGTACCAATAATCAGCGGTCGCGTGAACATCTCGTATCACGCGCATTTCGGCCCCATTTCGTTTCTTCTAGCTCTTCAACCAAAGAATTATGTAAATTGCAAAATAAAGGAATTAGAAACGGAACATGACGTCGAAAAACTGGAGAGGCCTAAAATGGAGAAGCAGCTTTCGGACTCTTCGGTGAACAGCGTTACGGCGAAGTTGCGCCACCATCTGACCAACAGTCCGGTGGTTATCAGACGACGAAGATCCAAAGATAGCGAGTTAAGATTATCCAAGACATTACCTAGAGGCTTAGGTAATGGTGGATCAAAGTTCTCCACTTCGACCACTTCTTCGCAAGGTTCCGGTGATACTTGCGACGTTTACGGCCTCTACGGTGAACTGATGTACGTTAAAGACTACGAAGTGGATGAGCATATAACCGATCCGGTTTACGAGAGTTTGAGGAGGAGCGACCCAGAGTTGGCAGCTATACCAGCTAAAGTTAGCACTCTGGACAGAAGGCTGAAGATGAAAGTGAGCAGACCCAGATCGTTGGACTTATCCAACTGGTCCGTAGACTCTAGGAGTTCAAGTCTGTACACTTCATCTGGAAGCGAGGAGAGCATGGCTATTAGGAACTTAGGACGTAGCGTTTCGAGGAACAATTCGAATGCCAGTAGACAACTGAACGGAGTCGCAGAAGCCGTAGAATCCGTTCAGGCTGTAACCAATCTTAAATGCACCAATAACAATACGAAGACGATAGCTAGGAACAACCATCAAGTGGACACTAGGAGGACGATCATCACTCTGATGGGAGGAAAGGGTTACGTGAACTGGAGACAACCCTGCTGTCCAGCAGACAAAGGAAAGCATCTCGCTACCAATCCTCACGGGGCCAACAACAATGACGCCCACATCGTAATTTGGGAATTGAAGTTGTGATTGAATTTTGATAAATTATGAACGGATTCAATGGAAAACAAAAATACAAGAAAAAAATAAAATAAAATTTCCAATCTCTAATTGTTATGAATGTTGTACACCAAAAATTTGCATTCAAATTATAAGCGTATTTATTTATTTTTAAAAATTTGATCTATATATTTTGTTTACTTGAGAAGAAGAAAAAAAAAAGAAAGAAAAAATGAATGATTTAAAAAAAACTGTTGCAAAGAATTTTATGTATGCGAGATGAATCAAAATTTTGTTATTTATTATAAATGTTTCCTCCTTATGCGTTATATTCTAATTGTAATTGCCATCACGGATTACTTTTGTTTTAAGTTTTTAAGATGACTACACTGTGTATATTTTATATTGATTATTATATTATTATGAGACGATGTCGATGCGGTTCCTGCTCGAAGATGTAGCATGAATCTAAATGTTATTTGTTCACTGTGTTTCTGAGTATCCCATTGATCTTCACAAGAAACAAACATATGTATAAAACTGATTGTATAGGATTATATATAATAAATAAAAATATTAGGATAATTAGCTTCTTCTCTTTCTTTTTCCTCCTTTATACCTAACGATTACAAACAGTTATTAAGACAAAAAAAAAATACTTAAATGGTACACAGAAAACTACAAGCTTTTGAATGCTTAATAACGAGTGCACTGCATCTTTGTGTTTGCTACGAGCTGTTAAGAGTGTAGAAGTTGAAGTTGCACCATCTTCACGTTATATTTAATTTCACACAAGATAATTATGTAATTCCAAGTAAACAGAAGACTGACACCTTTTGAATGGATGCGCTGAAAACGTTGTATCATTGATATTTCGATTTCGAACTTCTCTGAAAATTTGTGAAATTATTGCAAAATTAACCTGAGATTTTATTACAATCGCAGTATGATAACTATTTTACAATTTATTGTATTATCATGTAAAGGCAAGCGTTAACACAGCTCGTTATATAATAAATGTTTAGGTAATAACTTTTCTCTTACTCTACTATACGGTGGCAATCGCAAGGCCGACAACCGAAATCCCGTCTATCGAAATCTCGATGTTCGAAATCCCGACAATCTAAAACTTAATAAGATTATTAATTGTTGTTATTTATTGTTAATAACATAAACTAATTTTATTATAGAATATTTCTTATTCTTAAATTTTATAATGAATAAGTCAACGAAAAAAAAAATACAATAATAATTAATATTATTTATTGTAATTAAGAATATATAACAACAATTAATAATCGGGCAAAAAAGTCATCGACCTAGGTCTTAAAAATATTTTTTTCAGTATCCGTCGTACCTATTAACATATAGTACAATAATTTAAAAATGTCATTGTAGAAATTATAATAATAAAAGATACTGTCGGGATTTCGAACGTCGGGCTTTCAATAGACAGTCTTTCGGTTGTCGGGCTTGCGATATAGACCCCTACTATACTATTATAGGCAACCAAATATTCTCATTGCTTGTTTTTGGTTGCAGAGACTAATACACTCGTTGCTTATTTTTAGTTGTAGATGCAATAGCCAAATATAATATGGGTTTGACTCTGTTTCGTTTTATTTTTCGATATTATTAATTTATATCATAACACATACAATGCCTACTACATGCAGTTGCCTACTAAATGCTGCTAAAAGTGTCAAAATTGAAAGACAAGAAATAACAAGAATCTTAAACTGGAAAGTGCGACCTTTCGAATGAGCGCGTTGAAAAAGTTCTAGAATCGATATTTCGATTTTGAAAGGTCCTAAAAATTACCGAAATTTTGTTAAAATCACAAATTGGTAGAAATTTTCTAAATAAAGCACTTTTTCGCATCTTATTCTTGCATTAGAAAGTATGCATTGCTTAACTCGCTATATAATCAATGTAATGTTGTAACAAGTTTTCATATTTTTCGTGTTTTTTATTTAATTACTCAAAAGTTATGGAACTTTTTTTACATTTTATTATTGAGTAGGAAGGGCGTCACACTTACAGAATGTATAATGTAAGAAAAGTTAGATAATTTTCATTACGAAACAACAATTTTCGATGTTTCCAGTTTATCATAAATTGCTAATCACACATGTAATAATTAGCTAATCGAATACTCAAATTAATGCAGAAAATCTCACCGATCTTACTAGCAGATGTATGCTGAAATCCGAGCATTTGCTACATGCAAACTTAAAGTTGTCGATGATGAAAATTAATATCTGCTCTTTTTCATTAATTTCAGAATAAACACTCAGGATATTTACATAATACAATGAGACTCATAAACTGGAAACCGTCACTTTTCGAATGAGTCTGCTGAAAAGATTCTAGCGTTGATATTTCGATTTTGAAAAGTCCTGAAAATTACCGAAAATTTGTTCTAATAATTTAACTATCGTAGGCAACCAAATATATACCTCTAGTATGTTTGATTGCAGAAATATCTTTAATGAGAAACAATTTTTCTCTATCGTTACATTTTCTTATATAACTCAACAACCACAACTACACAAATTAATGCTGAAAATCTCACTTTTCAAACAAGCCCAATCATTATTGCATAGCAGCATAAGTAAGATCTGTGAAATTAATACAAATCTGTTCTTGAAGTCAAACTGTAACTGTAAATTTGCTTCTCGAGAAATATTAGAACTCTTTTATTAACGATTGTTATATAATTTGGAGCTGAATGTAATGCATAATACAATTACGCAACATTTCTTGACTTGTTATTATGCAATAATTAAATAAATTAGGTCCATACATTGGGGTGTATCTTATCGTCTAATGGTTCGAAAAGTAAGGTAACTTGCATAAGGTTAGATGGGTTTAATGATAAAAGAAATATAGTCATAGTCATTAGAGTTTATTGCAATACACAAAGAAATACGTGATAATGTTTCATATCATATCTTATATATATACAGCAAATTTACAAGTTTACGATAGGATATGGCTAGAGATAAATGAATTAATTTCATGTATGAGTCGTAGAAGGCATTATTAGAATCACAGTAACATTAAAACACAAGCTCTCAGTTTACCCTTCGTATCTTAAAAATCGTCGTTCCGTCCCTCAACCTAAAGTGTTAGAATATTAGAGAAAGAATCACAAGAGGAGCTCCAATTAAGATTTCTTTCATACAATATTTTTCATTTCTATATTGAAAAAAAGAAACTCCTCTGTTGATTCATTTCAACGTCTTCTAAATTGATATATCATAACAAATCCGCATTTTTTTCTCTTTTGTATAATTGGACCCAATAATTTGGTGTGTTCTTATCTTCCTCGAAATGAATACGAAAACAAAAAAATCCATCTACTTCATTGCCTTCGAAATGTCTAAAAATTATGATTACTAAAGATGCTCTAAATGTTTTCCAAGACAATTTTGATTAGCTTGTTACTTTCAAATACTTTGCTTTTTTTTTTTGATAAATTTTAGTGATAGATTTTAGCCAACGTGTTTTGCCTTTCGTCTCAATTTCTTTCTTGAGCAAAGTGATACAAAGTTGTATATTACTTGTTTTTAGTAAGTTTAGTTAGTTAAGTTAGTTAATACATGCACAGTGATTTATGATTAAATAAAAATATTACAGTAGATACATGTAGTCTTAAAATTATGTAGTATAGAGTAAATATTATTGATATATGTTTTTTTTTTCTTCTCGCAGATACATGTTGGACCATAAATACATTTTAACCGAACTAAAAGGAGTTTACAATTTAATTTCTCGTTACATAATTGACTAAACGATATCGTTCTGATTCGTGGTAAATGTTGCCTAAAATCCTAATCAAAATTATCATACAACGCTAAAGTACATTATACATATAAGATTTTTTTTGTTTAGATCTTAAGGTAATTAAAGCTATATTACAAATTATTTTTGGTTAGAATCTCCAGTCGTTTTCTGGTTAATCAACAATCTCATTTCGTGATTGATTTTATTATTATTATAATAAGTAATTTGCGAAGAAGTTTATATTGGATGTTTACCCAAGAAAGTATGCAACTGAAAGAGTAATGCTCAAAATTGTTCTTGTTTTTTTTTGTATTGGCACAAAGTCACTTATACTAAACAGAAGATGTAGTAGAAAACTAAGCACTGAAAATCAAGATGTTTACATATCTATACGTATATATGAAATGGTCGAGATTTAGGGATAAAAGTTATTTTTTTTTGCTAGACAAAGAGTTCGTGTGGTCCCTTTCCATTAGAAATTGTGCACGGAATATGTAAAGTGAATTGACTTTATATTAATATGTTGTTGTTTTTTTTACAAATCACTTCGGATGAATTGATCCGTTTCGGCCATATCCTCTTCGTCCTCCGGTGGACTCGGCCCTGATATGGAAAGCATCGGTAGTCCGAAATGCTTGTTATCCTCCAAAGAGATGTTGTCCACGCTCCGCGCTTTCCTGCACAATTTTGATTGGGATCCATGACGACGCAAGAACTCTTTGGAGTCGAAGCCCGGACCGCTGTACGACGTGAAGATTGCCGAGTTCAGTCTAGGCCTCGATCGTCGTGTCGTCGATGGAGTGTGGATCTTTACAAACAAATTACAAAATTAGATACAACATAATTTTGTTAACGTTCGTTAAGTGTTCGTGTTAATTAAATCGTTATTGGATTTAGTGAACAAAGAAGAGATAGATATAGAGAGCAGAAAACACACACCACAGACGCTTTTCATAGTGTAAGAAGCTGTAAATACCACAGGTGGGACAAGACACAAGTGAAAACACACTAGTTAAGCATAGACAACACTGTTTATCGTTAGTTTTACTCAGTTCAGGGTTCTTACCTCTAAGGTTTAAACTACATTTTTTCTTATCTGTTGGTATATTAGCAAACAAACGTCATTTAAATGGCTAGCAGGATTTTGCATCCAAACTAGCGTACTAAATTGGGTCTATCTATATAAGGGATTTGTCAAGTATGTACACGCTCATCACTAAAACTACTCGGGTCTTCTATTTCGGCAAGAGAGAAATATGTTCAGGGGCGGACCATTCACTTTTGGGGTCCAGGGCTAACACTGTTTGGGGCACTCGACTAACATTATTTGGGGGACCTCAACTAATACTGGTTAGGGCCCTTATGTTATTTATTATTTGGGGGCGTTTAGAAGGAAATATTTGGGGCCCATGTACTGTTCGAGCACCCTTAACTAAGACTGTTTGAGGGCTTTCGACTAACATCGTTTGGGGGCCCTCGACCTGTTGGTTCTATCCAATTTATCCAAAATTTGTCTTAGTTGTTTTTATTTTATTTTTTTGTCTGTGGTGAGGGCCCTTTGATTGAACGGGTCTCCGAGCTACTGTCCAAATAGACCATGACTAAATCCGCTCCTGAACATGTTAAATTTACATTGGAGAATGGCAGTATCATGATGATGATAAAGTCAACTAACAGATGAAGAGGCTATATACCTTAATAGCTTTGTCGGATCATAAGATAGAGTGGTATGTTGTTCTTTTATCTTTTTTTTTATTAGCCTCTTCCAGTCAAGGGCCTTCTGTGCGAGTCGGAAACGGGGAAAACATTTAATGTCAAAGATTACATTCGCTTCTCCTCTGTGATCCTGCTAATTATAATGAATGCTTTCAAGTTAATTACGTTCGCACAGCAATGTTTCATTCATCTTAATCATCCAAACGCGGTCAATGAAAGAAGAAGAAAAAGAAAACATATTATATTTACCTTTAATTACGACTTCCCATATAATAATACAGCAATACCTCGCATAGTGCATGCATGTAATTGGTTACGACAATATTCCGTACTGTTTGAAACCGGCTTAATCAAGTCTCAAAAACGATTAATTATGTGTACTAATTGTTTAGTATTTATATATATTTTGATCAATATGTCTCAATATTTTCAAACCATACTATAGTGAATCCGCACAATACGAGGCATTGATGTGTACATTTAATACCGATATTTCAAAATATTAGTTAAACTTGTAGCAATGGTTTGTCGTTTATTCTCAAACAATTATTTAGGAACATTTAAAATAAAAATAAAAAACCGGTATTGAAATTTAGAAAAACCGGTTTAAGAAAATTGAATTTATTTGTGAACAAAAATATATTTATTTCCTTAAAAATGTTGATATTTTGACTTGAATTGCATGTAAAAATTTAAATATTAGTTTGTTCGGATTTGTATCCACATTTTCAATTAGTACAAGACAAATTAATATATGAAAATTTATTGAGAAAACCATAAAATATCAAAATATACGAAATTAACCGGATTATAATTTTGATTTAAATTTGGTTTTGTATAGAGTATATTTTTATTAGTTTGTATTTAGATTTGTTTAAAAAATAAACATTATTTGTTTAAAATTTTTAATTAAACATTTAATTTGGTCCAAAATAATTTTGTGTATTTCTGCATAAAAACTGTTTTTTTTTTCTCAAATTATATAAATTATTAATATTTTCAAAAGTCTATTTTTTGTGGGTGTATAAAATAGAAGCGATGGCACGAAACAAAATAATAGTTTCATCAATGCGGATGGAGGAAGAATGAAAATCGTTACATAATTCAAAATAATGACTGTCGAAACACAATAGACTTGTGTTATTGTGGTTAACGTTGAAAATAGTCAATTTACGTGTGCGTATTTGTTGAAAGGTTCCGATAAATATTCAGTAAATTTGACAAAAGCACGCAGGATGGAAACCACACGGAAACAAACATGTTTTTTTCCATATTTATTTACTTTTTGTTGTTGTAGCTTCGCTGCTGCCTTCATTCAATGCTCGTCTATAGAGCCGAAGAGCATAAATAATGCACTTGGTAAATAATTATATGGATTTTCGGTGCAGCCAATGGCGGAAAATCAATTAAAAGGGAGAACTACAGGGCGTATGATGTGCCATGCCATCAGCTAGAGCACAGGCCGTTATTCAAATTGATGCAGACTGCGGAACGGATTGGGAGCAGCTCGTAATTGGAAAAGATGGAAATAGAATTACGTAGAAAAAAAAAACGGTTAACGCCTTGTTCTTTATTAGCTATTATGTACTTATTTAGCTTTTGTTTTCAAGTTTTCAGCAATAAAAATTAAATTTTATTACTGTATACTAAATTATTTGATTATAAACTACTATTTTTTAGTTAAAGTTAAAATTTGGACAACACATTTTGAAAATATTTTATCATCAATTTGTGGAAGTACTTTTTATCCTTTAAAAATAAAATAACTTATAGAAAATTTAACAAATTTTTGTTTCATATATCTACTAATTTTTTTGTTTATAAACAACTATTTGTTATTATCAGTTAAAATTCTTATTTAGACAATAAATTTTGAAAATATTTTAACATTTAACAATTTGTGAAATCATAAATATTAATTTACAATCTGCCAAAATGTAAATTATTACATAACTTTTCAATATGTTAAGTTTTCAGGAATCTGCTGAATCTATATGTAGTATTGTCATTAAATAATAATTATGAATTATTTAAATTTACTTTGAAAGTATATCATTATGAATCTGATAATTATTGAATACTTTCATGATAAAAAAATCTCATAAAATTATAAAAAAATATCAATGGCTAAAATGTATAATAAATTCTTATTTCTCCTTCATTATTTTACTCTTTTTATCAAAAGTCTATAAAATGAGACAAAGCAAGTGTTTCTTGCTCTTAATTTTTCTTGAAATTTAGGGAAATGCTTATATAAATTACAATTAAAATATAATGAATGAATGTTGGAAGTAATGCAGTGTACATTTGAGAAATTATTGTATTTATAGTTCTGAAGTATTCATAAATTTGAGTATGGTTTATTTATGTAAATTGTTACAAAATATATCTAAAACAGTGGAATGGTATTAATAAACATACTAATTAATGTATATTCGAAATTATCTGTCTATTGATGTGATAATATGAAGCGGTTGATTGATCTACTTGTAAATTTGTTATTGACGAAAATTGAGTGCAATTCGATACGGATTAATTAGTCTACATTAATCATAGCGAAATTCTGATATTTGCAACTCGACGCTATCAAAGACCTAACTAACATTCGCATTGATGTGAATGTATATTACATTAACGAATGACACACACACAAATAAAAAAAACTATATGCACTTTATTCTTCCTCAATTTCCGCTCAATAGCGTCCAATACATAATGGAATAGTTTGGGGAGTTGGATTGCTCACGCCTCGATACCTTTGATACGTGAACAAACATGAACCCATTTTTATTTATTATTGATCCTTTGAAAGTATCTGAACAGGATATGAAATTTTATACAATTGTTAAATTTGTTTGTAGTTTTGAATTTCATATAATTGTTGCTTTATTGATCTTTTATGTATTAACATTGAAAATAAAATACTTGTATTTTTTAATTGAATTTACAAGTAACTTTTTTGATTCATTAAAATTGTAGAATTAGGAGTAACTATTTGAAATTTTATAGAAAATATTTGAAACTAAGACTGGTCACATTTTCTAAAACAATTTTCTTGTAGTTTTAAATTCAATAGAATTGTTGCTATAATTGTATTATGCAATAAATTTGTAGAATAATTTGAAATTTTATAGAAAAGATATGAAATTATGTCTTTTTTTTTGTTACATATGATTGTATTTATATGTAGTTTTCAAATTAACTTAATTGTTACTCTATTTATATTTTTAAGACATTAACATTTGTAGAATTAATACAATTATTTCAAATTTTATAGTAAATATATGAAATTATATTCACTTGTTTATTTGTATAAAATCATTTAATTATGTTGTAGATTTCAATTGAATTTAATTGTTGCTCTATTGATGTGTTTAATATATTAAAATTGTAGAATTAAGATAAATATCTGTAATTTAATAAATGTATGAAATGTATAAAATTACATATATTTCACGTTTTTATTTCTATAAAATTCATTGATTTTGTTGACACAAAATTTTATAAAAAAGATATGAAATTAAATAATTTTACATAAGTTTACAAATGAATTTAATAGTTAAAGCAATACTTTTAATACATTAAAATTGTGAAATTACGGCAAATATTTGAAATTAAAATAGAAAACACAGTTTTTAGTCAAATTGTTTTTTTTTCGGGTTGCCAACACTTTACTGCACAAATGGCGGCAAATTCAAATCTTGCGTTAATTTTGGGACACCCTTTATATTAAATTAATTAATGTTAACATGTTTATACATTCATTTAAGATCAATTTAGTTATTGATCTAATGATTTTTCATGTATGAAATCAATTATTTGAAAATTCATAGAAAATATATGAATTGTTGCAGTATTTATGTTTCCAATATATTATAATTTGTAGAATTGAGATAAGTATTTGAAATTTGATAGAAATGAATGAGAAAAGTTTCACATTTTCTATTGATTCATTGATTTTGTTTAGTTTTTGTAGTAGTCTATTGATTGGCTGAATTTAGACAACTATTTGAAATTTTATAGCATATGAAAATAAATAAAATTCATTTTTTTTATACAATTGATTCATTTTTTTAGTAGTTTCCAATTGCA